TTTCAAATTTAATGAAATCATGGCAGATTGTCCTCGCCATACTCGTCCAAAAGATTTCGAAGTCCAATTACTCATTACCCCGTCGGTTAAGCACATTTGGAAGAATACTATTTGCGGCACATTTGAAAGAATTACACTGATCATTGTGAACGAAAATTTTATGTATTAAGTACAAGTTAAAATCATAAAACCCTCCATATAAAAGTATAAAAAAATATTCGATAAGTATAATTTCACCGAAAAATAGGTTTATAAACCGTAATTAAATCAAATATAAAATATATCATAAAAATAAATAACACATTTTAAATAAATACCCCGAATAAAATACATTACAAAGGGAATCTCGTCGGCCGTCGCATTTTGGGTTTTTGACAAGCCGGCGTTGGCTGCTGCTGAGTTTCCGGGCTTGTATGCTTGGGTCGGGCGGAGTATTCGGACTTCGGTCATTGGGCTTGATGGGCGGGAGGCAGATCGGGTCGGGTCGGTCAACGCAAGGGTCAAGGGAATGTCTCTATCTCTGAGTGTCGTTTTGCATTTGTTTATTAGTCACGGAAAGGACTCGGGTTTGTTGCCGGAAAGAGTCAGCACTCAGTAATCGGCAGCCGGGTCGGTAGTGGGCTGGGCCACACCTCGGTTTGGGCGGCCTGCCATTTAAGATTCAAATTTTCTCCATCATAAATAATTCAATTTTTGTGTGTGTGTGGAAGTTTGAATCTATGAAGTTTTCAAAGTATATGAAAGTCCTAAATTTATATAATAGATTAATAGTGTTCATAATCAACATTACAAAATTCAAATTACTAACACTGGTTGAGCAAATAGTATAGTAGCTTATCTTAGTTGAATCAAATTAATCATGGGATTCAACTATCGATTCAATGATATGATTTTTCCCACTCCATAAAGATCAAGTTAATACGACTATCAAACAAAGAAAGGAAAAAACAATTACTTCTATATACACAATCTACGACGTAACTTCTTTCGCACGTAATTAGTGATAAGAAACCACAACACACACATGCTCCAATGACAGCTCACGAATTTATATCAAGGGTATTCAACAATAAAATAAAATCACCGAGCATTGCCATATAGTCTCGATTACAAATACTACCAACACTAAAATAAAATTTTACAAATAAATGTTGTCTCCTGATTAGATCAAAGCTTTGCCAATTGACAAGCCATCAGCCAACCTAGTTCTGCCCCCGACCCCATGAGAAGCGTTTGGGATGATGGCTAAGCCACATCCTCCTGCGGACTTACCAAGGCCAAAACTAATACTGCACCGAAACACTGAACATCACACAGTAAATCAACGAGCAGAAATCGAGCTTGACTTAGAAAATGTGTTGCATGTTTAGATTAGAAACGACCCCTAAATAATAGCTTAACGTAAGAGGTGTTGTATGGTAGGAACTAGGAAGCTTGAAAGGAAGCCATAGCCTAGGTGGATGGAAATTGGAATGGAATGGAATGCACGTAAAATCAAGCCGTCCAAAAAGCAAATTAGGTTAGCACCACTTTGGCTTGGACACCAACCGCCAATCGCCGCCCAAGTCACGATCTTTTTCTTTCCAACTTGGCACAATTACAATTTCGAGAAAAGAAAACAAAATACCACGTGTGTGTAGCCCGCAATTGTCTAGTATTGAGGTTGGAGAACATTTTCATATATGATAGTTACGGATTGCAGCAATCAGAAATTTGAATGAGAGGACTCATACAATATGTTGAATCGATCCGTGAAGTTATATAAATTGATTTGGTGGTTGTTACGTTGTTACTTTCGATATCTCGTGACACTATTCTTGGTGCAACACCTCTTCGAGACATTAAAATTTGTAAAATGAACTACCACTTTATAACTACCACGAGAATAACATTGATAAGCTCCAAACCTAGAAGCTTGATAAACTGAACCCTCAATTCCTCACAATCGAAACTTGACGGATGAGTTAGGAAAGAACACGAACGAAACAGGGGGCAAAGGCGGAGTTGGGAAGAGCAACTTCAACTCATGAATTAGGGAAAGAGGCTCGATCCAATTAAGTGCAACTCGTCCACGTGTGATGGGGATGAATCAATCGATGCTGAGCTTGCTCGCTGTTGGATTTGACTCCACACAACAAGGACAAATCAAAGAGCTAGAACTCAATGAACTAAGGTTCTTATTAAACTTCAAAATTGAAGAACTTACAACGCAATTGTCGAAGGTTAAATAGCTATCTAGGTCCATGAAGGTCGAAAATGTCCTTATTACAATTAAACACGAAAAGCTAAGCTTAAACAAACAAGGAATGCTAATCCGAATCAAACAAGGAAAGTAATCCTGCCTTCAACTCCAAGTCACCAAACAACCATCAATGTCAACTTTGAGGTCCTCGATCACTGACTTCCAAGCACGCCAACGATCATCCAATGCCTCTCCTATGTAGATTGAAATGCATACTTTCATGGGGCACGAAGCTCCTCCCTCGAATCGTCACCATCTTCCTGGAATGAAGCTTCAAAGTAGCTATCCTTATCACAGTTTGACACACAGACAATTCCTGCCAGTTTCCCAGCGTTAAGCTAGCATCTTGTCGAGCATTGAAACTGTACTTCCGGGCTTCCCTTCGAGCTGCCAACCACTCTACCTTGCATAGGAGAACCTCAGCTTCAAAACCATGACTTAACCTTCCATTTCTGCCATCCCATTCGGCCATTCCAAGCTTCCAAAGTATGCTATCCGAACACGTCTCTTGCCTTAGACGAAAATCTAGTTTGTGCATCATAGTTGGATTGGCAATTTGAACAAGGAATGATGGCTTGAAATGGAGGTAAACCAGGGTTGTATCAAACATGACCAATGAAACCAAAGCAGATGAAAGCTAGATGTACCCACATAGTTGTTTGTATCAACATTGGAGATTCAATATGTTAGTGAATGATTTGAACTCCTACTCGTATTCGTTATCATGTTAAATCACTAAAGCCTCGTATGGAAAGCATGCTATATAGATTATATGGATTTCAAGAATTCGTGTATTTTGCAGGTGAAAATGTAAGAACTCTTGTAATGTCAGCAAAATATAGTGTTTGATTGGTAAAAACATAATTTTTTGTATGCGACTAAGCAGAAAAGTCTCACATAATTGGATGAATTCCCTCATGGTTTTCATGTGGTTAATTTTTGTGCCCACTGTCAATCTCTTATTCGACTGGTGGCGGCACGGGAGACCGAGTATGTACTGGACAATGCTCTTTTGGAGGAAGTTCGACATCTTTCTTTGTCTTTTGGTCATTTTGCTTGTACTTTTATTCCACGTCGGTTTAATAGGTCAGCCTATTTAGTGGCGAACCATGAACTCTCATTAACAGTTTGGCTATTTTTCGATTGCCGCGTCTGCTTACGCAGTGTATTTTAACCTACCTTATATCACTCATATGCTATCTACGGGAAAAAACAGATACATGCATGTATTACGAGAGTACATGAAATGCTAAATACATGATATAATAATTCTCTTTAAAAAATGTTATAATTCTCTCTTTGTAGAAATGTCATAATTCTCTTTAAAAAAATATCATAATTCGATACCACATTTCTATTTTGTCATCCAAAATGTGATATGCAGTATTTAAGGATGCCAACAAAACCCGAATCCACGGGTACCCACCCAACCCAATCCGGTCTAATTTTTTCTTTCTAATTGTGTAGAATGAAGTTGATGTTATCAATTGGAAAGTGAAGAAACTTAATTGACAAGGAGGAAGAAGCTTTCAATTAATCATGTTATTTATGGATAATTTGTGATTTGCTTCGATTTTCTTGAGTGTTCTAGATTGGTGTTGAACAATTTGTATAGTTAATTTTTTATTGTTTGAATTTTCTAGAATAATGTTTTATATATGGATAATTTGTATTGAGAGATTGATATTTGACTTTAATTTTGATAGGAACTTGTTATTATAAATTTTTTACGATAAAAACCCGTGGGTACCCATGAACCGCGGATACTCAGGGGGTTGGGTTTGAGTTTTTCAAACCCAGTGAATTTTACCCCAAATTTTTTCCACAGATAAACCCATGAATTTGAGTTTGTCGAAACCCAACCCAACCCGACTCATTGTCATCCATAGCTGTATTCAACCTCAAATACCACATACGGTGATATGCTCAAATACTCCACCCAAACAACATCCACCAACAGTTCAAGCCATGTTCGTTATCATTAGAAGTGAATCGGGCCCAATGGAGCCGTGGTCAATTGAACCAAGATCAAGATTCTTACCAATGGCCAAAGGCCCATGAAATTTTTTTTTTTTTGGTGGAAGCCCATGAAATTGTTTCGTCAAAGCAAAGCAAAAAAAAAAAAAAAAAAAAAAAAAAAAAAAAACGAGAGGAGAAACTAGCACTTCCACAACGGTCCAAAACGGTACAGCTAGCTAGCTCGGCCCATAGCCCATATCAAAAGCACCCAGAACTGAACAGTTCGTCAAACGTACACAAGTGTTGATTTTGGGTTTTTTTGCCCCGAGTACAATCCGTTGATTTTGAGGTAAGCAGTTTCGAAGTCAGAGATTCGAATGAGGAGATCAAAAGTTTACGTAAAGAGAATTTGAACTAGCGAGGAGGGCTAACGCTTTATCAACTCCTATATTTTGTCAATTATTACAAAATTTACATGTAATTTTACATAATTTAGAGAGTTGAGAGGATGGGCTATATCCTCCCTTGCCACACCGCCATTAAAAGAGGAAACCGCAAACCAAACCAAACCAAACCGTGATTATGATCTCAAAGTCTGAACCGATTTGGTCCGGATTCCGGGCCCCTACTTTCTGTAAAATGCCTCCATCGGAACTTGACCTTTTTTTTTTGTCAAAAAAAAAAAAAAACAACTTGTTTCGAGCTCCATTCCGTCATTTCGGCCAACTGAAAATCTGATGTCGTGTGCTCAAACGAAATCGGTCACGTTTCAGCAGTAGGGACGTGGCCTCATAAACATTTTCCATCCATATCCAATTCCCATTTCCGCCGTATACACTCTTCTTCTTCTTCTTCTTCTTCTTCCCTTCATCCCCATCCCGTTTACAGCTCATCCTCCCCATCCCATCAGTGGGGGCACTCTAGTCAATTCACACCACTCCTCTGTCGTCACCTTCACTTAAAGACATTTTAATCATCAGCTTTTTGCTCAGCCCACCGGCAAAAGAAAGGTTTTCTGACCCAATATGTCGCCGGCGGCGGACGGGGTCAATGCTCCGCTACTTGGGGAGCAGGAGAAGGAAAGGAGGAGGAGGAGGCAGGGCTCGGTTACCGGTGCGGTGTTCAATGTCTCCACCAGCATGATCGGAGCGGGGATCATGTCCATCCCGGCGACGCTGAAGGTGCTCGGTGTGGTGCCGGCGTTCCTGATGATCGTCGCCGTCGCCTGGCTGGCCGACGTCTCCGTCGAGTTTCTGGTGAGGTACACGCACTCCGGGGAGGCGACGACGTATGCAGGGGTTATGAGGGAGGGGTTTGGTGGGTTTGGGTCCGCGGCGGTGCAGATCTGCATCATCGTTACCAACTTTGGGTGCTTGATCATTTACTTGATCATCATCGGTGAGCTTCGCCTTTCCTCAGATTGATTGACAAATTTCGTGCTTCTTGTGGTCATTTACTCTAGTCAAGTTGAATTAATTGAAGTGAGCAAAAGAGGGAGTTTGAACTTTCGAGGAAGCATTTTACTAGTTTGATTGAAGCTTTTTTGGGGGGGAAATTGTGGTTGTTTTCTTCAGGGGATGTTTTGTCAGGGACGGAGCAGCATTTAGGGGTGCTGCAAGAATGGTTTGGGGTTTCATGGTGGAACACTCGAGCTTTTGCACTCTTTCTGGTTGTGATCTTTGTTATGCTTCCTTTGGTCCTGTTCAAGCGAGTTGGTGGGTTGTTCATCTTTGATTCTTCCTTTCATGTGTTTTTTTCCAAAGATGTTGGTGGCTGAATCCTGAATATTTGGAGGGTGCTTTGTGTTTGTTTCTTGAATTCTGCTGCAGAGTCATTGAAGTGCAGTTCAGCCGTATCAGTTCTCTTGGCAGTGATTTTCGTTGGGATAAGCTCTGTGATGGCTGTCTATGCCCTCATACAAGGCAAAACCAACAACCCTAGACTGTTGCCTGAGCTAGACAGCAATTCCTCATTCTTTGAGCTCTTCACTGCTGTCCCTGTCATCGTCACAGCTTTCACATTCCACTTCAATGGCAAGTGAATCAAATCCCATAAAAAAAAACCCTTCTCCGATGAATACCTAGAAAGGTTTTTTTCTTCCCCTCTTCCATCTAACGAAATGGTTGGTAAAACTATTGCAGTACATCCCATTGGATTCGAGCTGGGGAACCCATCGATCATGCTCTCAGCAGTCAGAATCTCGATGGTCCTTTGTGCAGCCATCTACTTTGCAATCGGCATATTCGGTTACCTTCTCTTTGGGGAATCCATCATGGCAGACATACTCGTCAACTTCGACAGGACTGCTGATACAGCAGCTGGTGCATTGCTCAATGACATTGTGAGGCTGAGCTATGCACTTCACCTGATGCTGGTCTTCCCCTTGTTGAACTTCTCGTTGAGGGCGAACCTCGACGAATTCCTCTTCCCCAAGAAACCCCTTCTGGCGAAAGACACCACCAGATTCTTGGCCATCACTTTCGCTTTGCTGCTACTGAGTTACTTGCTGGCGATTGCCATACCGAACATATGGTACTTCTTTCAGTTCATGGGATCGACCTCTGCAGTTTGCCTCGCCTTCATTTTCCCCGGTTCGATTGTACTGAGGTGAGACTTCGATCCCCTTTCTCCTCATAGAGAAAGCACATCTTTGTGCAGTTTCAGCCTTTGGAATCTTGAATGTCTGATTGTGTTTTTGTTATGCCTTGGCAATGGCAGGGATGTTTATGGGATATCAACAAGGAGGGACAGAGTGTTTGCAGCAGGAATGATAGTTCTGGCTGTGATAACAAGCGCCATTGCCATATCGAGCAATGTCTACACTCTGATTGGGGATAACCAGTAGTGTTTGCTTCTGGTGACCCTTCACACGTTTGGTTCAGAGGCTTTTCCCTGGTTGGGAGTTGCTTTTACATTTTTGTGTATTCTTCTTCTGCCGTGGCGGTTTGTATTGCAAGTGGAGTTATCTCTCAGAAGCCAAAGCAGGTTTTTGTAAGTGTACGTCTGCAAATCTCAAGCAAAATATTTGGGTTTAAAGATTAGGGGGTGGGAAGAAATTATGGATCAAACAATACTTTTGCAAAGTTTAGATCGGAACCATAGATGGTTGAGCATGGGTTGACTTGTTCCGGTGGCATGATTTAATTTCTTGGTCTGGTCACGGTTTGGATCAGATTGTATATTTATTTTGTTTTTCAATTCGTGTTAGCAACCCACTTTTGCTATTTCCAATCTGAGTCGCTATTCGTCGCTCTAAAATTTTAAAATTTTCGCCCTAAACCACGCTACGTTGACGTTAATACCCCTAGTTTTAATCGCTAACCCCTAACTTTCCCGCTGGCCAATTTCCGGCCGCCCCTGCCGTTCATCCAACCTGCCGACGGATTCGGCCGATATGGCCATTCCCCTAGGCCCTAGCCAGTTGACCCGCAGCAATTCCCCCAATTCGCCCACTTGCTACAGTTGCCGATGACGGAGAAAGAAGAAGCAGGAGGAAGAGGAAGAGGTCTAGCGCGAATCTCCCAATTCGCCGGCCTGCTGCTGTTGCCGAGAAAGGAGGAAGAAGGTCCAAGCGGGTAAAAACATCGATTCTCCCATCCACCGATTCATCTATTTTCTTCGAGGAGCGTAGTGGTTTGGAGAAGGCGATTAATAAAGATATCAGCAATGCTGTTGCCGTGGCCACCAGAAGTGAACCCACCAAATTTGCTCCATCGTTTTTGCGTGGGAAAGCTGCAATTTCTTTCTCTAGTTGTTTTTGTGTGAGAAACGACTGCGAAAGGCGAGATTGATAACGTCCAGAAGCTTGGAAGTGACGACGATCGATGGACTTAAAGGAAACTATTCCTTCAACACTACCAGAAATAGGGATGACAATTACCCACCCATGGGTAATTATACCCAAATTCAAGTAAACCCATTCATAATGGGTTGGGTATGGGTGAAGTGTATATGGGGTTTGGGTGAAGTGTATACCGCAAAACAGCCCATTTCTCCAACCGCGACCGCAAAATAGGCAAAATATGCGGTTTGCGGTTAACCAATAACCGCGCGGTTTCGGTGCGGTTATCGATTTAACCGCGAAATCGCAACCGTTTTCCCAGCCCTACTAGATAGGTTGGGTATGAGTATATGAATATTACTTCCATAATCTAAATGGGTATGGGTTGGATATGGATATCCATGAACTTGAGGGTGTTTTAACTAACACATGCAAAAATTGGACCTATTTGTAAAACTTGAAAAGTTTAGGTACCAAAATGTAAGACCAAAAAATTTAGGTACCAAAACGTAATTTTTCATCGATATTTTGAGGACTTACATGCAAAAAAATTAAATTTAGGTACTAAATATGCATATCTATTAAGTTTAAGTACCAAACTGTAATTTACATTTTGACATGGGTATAAACCCAAATCCATTTGTTATAAACCCAACCCAACCCAAATAAATAGGTATGAGTACAAACCCATCAAACTCTACCCATATCCATCTATTTGGATTTCATACCCAACTCAATTGGGTTAAATAGTAAAAAAGTATGGACAAAATTGCCATCCCTAACAGAAAGCAGTATAACAATTCTCACTGGTTACAACTTACAAGTTCCGCAATTTAAACCTATTACATTTACATGCTGCCATTTCCCTTGCTGCCATTCATAAACTCCTCATGAATCATGATGATGACGACTTTTTTTGTTCAGGTTTTAATTTCATTTGCTTTAATCATCGGGGATGGTCTCTACTCTCTACAATTTCCTCAAGATATTTTGTTGTACAGTTGCTTAGAACTTAGAAGTGACAACGAGAAATTTCTACCATTAAAGTGACAAGAAACGCATTAAAGGACATTAGAGTAAATTTAACATAATTAGGGCAACGAATAAGAAATTTTAGGGCGACAAATAGCGATCCCCTTGGACATTCAATTTTCAACTCTTATTTTACAAATCTCATCCCCTCATTTTGTCACAGTTCATATTCGACTATTCAAGTTAAAGACATTATTATTATTAGAATTATTATTAGTTAGAATAATTAAAACGTAAGTAACCAAAAAACACAGAACACTGTTCCTTATGACGTTTCCGGGCTACTGTTCACGGATTAGTTTTAAAAACAAACGAAAAGATATTCTAAGTCTTTCGTGATATAATTTCCAACATAACTTTCTCTATTATTTACAAAATTGTTGACTGTATCATAAATTTGCATTACGCAAAGACTCAGAAAGTCAATTATTTTTAATGATTGTAATCAAATGCGATACCTTTTGTGACTTAATTCTTTCCGAGTCTTTCATGATATAATTTTGAACACAATTTTCTCTGTTATTAACTAAAATGTCGATGGTATCATTAATTTGCATTACGCAAAGGCTCAGAAAGTCAATTGTTTTTAATGATATTGTAACCTAATGTGATTTTATATCTTAATTATTTAATTATCAACTAAACTTCATTCTATTATTATTTATTTTCTTATCAAATTTCATTACGAAAAGGTCATGTTAGGTAAGTTCACTTTTACACAATAGTTAATGATTATATTTTGTAACTTGATTTTATTATTAGACAACAAATTGCAAAAGATTTGCATAACAACGTTCTATAATTCCGTAAATTACAAGAACAATACATAACTTTATGGAAAGATAGTTATTTCTTATGTATAAACTAAACAAATATATTATTTAAAAGTTAACTTACCTATCAAAACCTTTTCATATGCTTATATTTGGTCGTTTTTATCAATTTTTAACCACATCTTGACTACTACATGAAAAAAAAATTGCGTTTAAAATCATGAAATGGAGGCTCACATTGGATTAGAAATAGACGATCACAGTAAGTTACAACTACATTTTAGATCATGAAATGGAGGCTCGCATTGAATCATAGAAATAGAGGATCAAACTAAGTTATAACTACTTTTTATATCATGAATGAAGGCTCACATTAAGTTGTACAAATAGATGTTCGATGGATTTACACATTCATGGGGATAAAGCTAAATTTTTTGAAGAACTTGATTAGTAAACGGTAACTCGATGTTTCAAGAACTTGCGATGAAAAATTGCTCATCAAACGAAAGATAGCATAACCAAATAGAAAAACAAAAAATATGACAAAAGATACGCAAAAAACTAGAGTTAATAAAGTAGAGACTATCTCATCTTTATGACATAATTATGTTAATATTTATAATATTTTCGGGGAAAACAAAATCGACACAGAAAACAACTCTGTCAAATTTATCTTTTTTTCCCCTTCTGTAACTCATTCGTGGAGCGCTCCTTCTAGAAAGGATCTCCATAGTCGTAGTTGTAGCCGTAGTTTCAGAGCTTTCCACATGAATCTCCGTAGGAGTAGTCATGATGTATATTCCCAATAACTTAAACACCCTGATTCGAATATTGTTTGGCGAGGTGAGAACCGTAATAACGGTTATCATGGTTCGCCATCTTCAATTGTTCTCTTGACTAAAAGCCAAAGTTCACTCTGTCCACTCACACTCTGAATAAAGCTCGCCATTAACACTGCAAAAATTTTCACCACAAAACACTATCACACAATTGCTTCAGTATCATTAATTTGAGTGAGGGTGTTGAAGTTCATGTATCACTTACCCAACACATGATCACTTACTAATTGATACGTGAACTTCAACAGAGGGTAGGGACGGAGCCAGCTCATAGCTAGGGGGCCATAAAATAGATTTTGAACAACTATAACAGAGAAGTTCTGTAGCTCTGATGGTTGAGTTGTGATATTAATTTGTCTTTGGTGGAAAGAAAGTAGCGAGTTCGATCCCTGACTTTGACGTTTGTGCCAATAATAGAGGCAAAATACACTTGTATGGCCAAAACTTTGACGTTTGTGCCAATAATAGCAAAATTTGGCGAAATACCACTTATAGCCAATTCCGTCTAACACTTTAACGGTGTCAACTAACAGACTGACTGGACTAACGAAAAAACTGACTTGGCGACATTTCATCCACGTGGATGAATAAAAAAAATCCAAAAATAAAATAAATAAACCAAATAAACTTATATCTTCCCATCCTTCCCTCTCTCTCATCGCCATTCTCCTCACCTCCACTGTCGGACGCCGGTAGCCATCACCTCAACCTCCTCCCTCCTGGCCTCCTCCTCAACCTTTTGTCCCCACTTTGTTTTGACCATCTAATTTCATCGGCCAGAACCAAAATCATTCCCAAACCACTTATCCCCAAAAATTTGAACTCCATCTCCATTTTTCATGTCTGGCGTTGAGGAAGAAGATGATGCGAGGAAGAAGACCACGTCGTTATTGAAATAGGGGTGACGTGAAATTGGCGAGTTTGCTTTCTTCTTCCCTACAACGAACCAATTCTCTTCTCCGACCTCACCTCCTTGGTCGATTCAGGAAGGGAAGGAGATGAAGCGGCAGAGAAGTGACAAAGAGGGATTTTTTTGATTTGCTTCTAGGGTTCAAGATGGGATTTGTTTGATTTCTTGGATTTGCTTTACTCGCGGTGGTATACGAACCCATCTCAGCCGCCGTCAATCCTCCACCCTTTATACCCCCAGCTCCCCACACAGCAGAAAGCTGGTCGCCCAGCGGCAGAGCTTCTCGTTTCACACCTGGGATAGATTCAAGACACGCCACCGTGGTAGCGGCAGGGCCGAGATGCACCGAGGCTGTTGGTAATCAGATGCAAAGAGATTCATCCAATCCAAATTCCTCGCCATGGATTGAACTGGGTAGCTAGTTGTAGAATTGTCTGGTTAAGGAACGAACATGAGGTTGATAGAATTCAAAGGTCACTGTATTTCTAGACTTCTAGATTCTCCAAAATAGACAGACGCATTGGAGAATATGGAATGGGGAGATCTCAGAGATCATGACATGTCGCCACCATAGACTAAAGTTAATAGTCAGGGCAGAATCAATGAAGTTGCTCAATCCCATTAAAGTCCACAACCTGGTGGCTAGGGGGCATCTGAAGAATAAGTGTTCAATGCTCTCTCTATGTCTCCAGCAAACGTGACATCTATTGAGGCAATTAACTCCACGTGTTTGTAAGGCTACCACAATGGGTAGTATGACCCTAAGACATTGACATATGAAGAATTTAAGCTTTGGAGGGACTTGGATATTCCAGGTCTTTTTCCAAATGGGCTGGTCGATTATAAGCACCATTGGTTTCCTGCTTACTGCTAGGGCCGATTCTAGAGCTAAGTGATATCCTGATTTGACCGTGTACTTTCCATCCTTGGTGTAATGCCAGACTCTTGTA